ATCTTTGACTGCATCTGGGCTGCAGTCCGTTGGAGCGTACGCCGAAACGACAAACAAATTTCGTCTATCGTGGCAACGGCTGCTTATCTTGCACGAACCTCTGAGTCTCACTGCGCACAACCTACTGTCGACTGGGATCCAGTCCAGGAGGGCGGCTTCAGCTCTCTCACTGAGAGCAAGGCCGACGCCAGCGAAACAAGAAGCCTCAGCCTCAGGGTCCCCAGAGAAGCATAAGTGAAACTTCACTGATAGGTTTGACGGGGACGTCAATCGGATAATGGTGCTGGAGTCTTGAATGCAGGTTTCTCGAATATAACACATCGATGGCTAGGGTTTCGAGCGTACGAGCTAAACACGCCTGTTGTCCTATACGCATCAGAGTACACACACTAAACGTGGCTAGTTTGAAGGGACATCGAGGGTGAAGAAGGGCTTCACTTGTTGGAGGATTCGGTGAGACTTGGACGCTAGTCGAGGTAGGACAAGAGCGAACAGTGGCAGAATTTCCGCTCGGGGCACTACTATTAATACGATCGTCTGAAGAGATGAGCTGAGGGAAGGATGAGAGAACAAGGTGTGTATGGTGTAGAGTATTTTTTGCTAGAAGAAAAAGCATCAGAGTACATAGTCGTAAGAGCAAGGTTCATGGGTTGTATGCGTTGTGGGCTATTGTACTGCTCGATCGCCCGGGCCAGAGTAGGCCTTGTTCGAGGATGCACTCTAGCCCGGCTGTTTAGCCGGGAGTTGAAAGTGCGTCTGAGAGATGCGAACTATGAGGGGTGTTAGACACTGTCAACCGCTATATTATCATGATTGGAAGAAACTGGGAATTTGGGTCAGCTATCCATCTGTTTTCTAGTGATAAAATGTTTTACAGTCAACTTTTTCTCAACAGTTAATACTCATAGCTCATATGTTTGTGATGCTTATTATGTACTCAATCATATGGGATCATAAAGTAATCCGTTAAAAACTAAAGTGATCTGATTGTGCAACCATCTGTTTTATATGCTTATCAATTAACATACAGATAAAATTTCAAAAAGTATACGGTGAAATACACAAAAAATTGTTATCCCATTTATTTGTAATTTTCAACTTTAACATTTTTACGTTTTTTACTATATTCTCTATCCCGACCACCTATCCCGTCATTGTTATTGTTATTATTGTTGTGGCGTTGGCATCATGCTTGTACGAAAGCCGGTGTTGAATATATATAATATATTATATATATATATATATATTTCACCAGGGATGGAAGGAACTCCACAATGACTTATTTCACGCAACCCACTAAATCTACTAAACTTCTAAATTTTGTAACCAATAATAGGTCCCTTGTTGACGTCTTCCGGTGACCCGTACTGATGCGCTTTGAACGGCGAGTTGAGAGACAGGTAACTAATATGTGGCACTGTGAATTCCGTGTGACTGTTTCAATCATACTAAAGGTATGCCAACATTGACTAAAGGCAATTGATGCCCAACAGTTGATGTCATTGGCAACAGAAAACGAGACAACCGTGCACATATGATGGAGAACTGTACTGATGAAATCATAAAAATCATATTCCTAGCTTAAGTTGGACCAACCATCCTTCAGAATTTATCTTCACGCACAAAGCCTTGGTTCATTCAATCAACCATAAATTGGGAAAACACTTGAATTGAGTTTCACTCTTATGAGGGCTCATCAGTTGTGCATGCATGTTCACTGTCCCTTATAGGCTCTGAACTCTGAACCCATTAAATGGAATGGGTGTGTGAAATAGCTCACACAGGGACTGACCAGAATTATAAATTCATATCTCCGCGGCCCAACTCAATTGGAGCAATCGAACAGTATGGTGTGTCTTACTTCGTTACTGTCGGAACAAAAGAAGTGTTTGACGGTCTTTGAGGATGTCTCCTGAACACAATCAATCTGTATGTGCTTGCGATAGAGACTCCTGCAATGCGGCCAAAAAAGGGTGCACTACAGTCCCAGAGACAACAGACCTATATTTTACTTCCCAGTTCTAACTGTGGTCTTCAGAATAGCGTGATATGATGCCACATTACTGGGACTCATCGACCGATTACTTTTATCCTATTGGACATGACAGTGTGCAACAGTCGCAACAGGCGGAATGATCCGCAGATGTTTAGGCTGGAGTGATAATTCCCATTTAAATCACAGCAACTTGTGAGTAGTGGTGTGGAATGATTGATATTGATTTGAACTGACTATCCGTCGGACTTCACGTTCACCCAGAATCCTCACTTCATCTAGTCAACCAAAACATGAAATAATCACCTCTCTTTAACCAACTTGTAGGCAATGATTCATTTGCTAAGATGATTCAATTATTACACTTTTAACTGCCGTTTTTTTTAGTCATCTGACTCTCACAGTCACAGCTTCGATTGGTTCACGTATGATGCGAAAGCTATTCGAATGTTCCCTTGTCGAAGTACGTGGTTGGTTGTGTGTTGGTTTTACGACACAGCAAAAGGCTCTGGTATCCGGTTTATCGAATCTCACTAGCCGATTGTGTCGTGGACCACAGAAAAACGGGATGCGATTGGCGTGATTGAGCCGCGCACAGCTAGCTAGCTATGAAGTGGTATTCAATGACAATGCGTACTTTCTCGCTGAAATACTGTTCACGCTCGGAAAAGCTTGTTTTGTTTGAAAAGTGCATCCGTTCAACAGATCAGGTGTGATTTATCGAAGACACTGTTGTTAAATTGATCAACGAGAACGGTTTAGCATACTTCTGCAAAGCTTCGCAAAGTTAACTGACATTAATTTTGTTGGATTTGTAATTGAACAATTAGAAAATTGAACTAAAAGAAATTATATGCGGTTCTTTTGAATTGGTCGCTTCGCTTAACAACACACATATAGACACAACTGTACGAAACAAGTTTGGCTCTTACAGACTCGTTTCACTGTGAATAAAAAAACAGCACAGAAGATTAATGAAGTACTTCATTATCAAATCGGTTCTTCAAAAGATCGCACGGATCCATTTGAGACTGTGCATGTATGTTTATTCGCACAAGCCTTCATTTTAAACTTGTCTTGGAACCTGGTTTGGTATGGGTGTCTTGGGATGTGATTGGTCACTTTTCCCTTGCGTCTACACGAATAAGCGTCTCATCCGGTCTCTGTTGAAGAAGTCCTCCCTACTGACTGCGTTCCGTTGGCGATGTTTTTCCAGCAAAAAGAAATTTCGAAAGGCCAACATACGGGGCTTTAACCACCGGCAGTTCTCCCAAGGGAATTGGTTAAAACCCTGATTTTAAACAAACCAAAAAGAGACGTACACACATTTCTTCCTGATTATCACAGTGGTTACTGACCTAATCGATCTTCGAGGTGTATTGGGTACAATGGACGTTTCTACCCGTCCAAAGGGACCATGTCATCCGATAAACGGAACACTGACTCCCAATGCATTCCGGTTTTTTCACATTGCCACGCAACAGGACAGTATTTCGCTAACCGAAGACTCCTGTTGTGAATCCCCAAGTAAACTAATCTACTGAAATATCAGTAACCTGACGGTAGTTCGATCATTACGATTATTGCACCAAGATTTGTTTGGCACACAGTAGTTACCTTACCTTAGAAGTTCATTCGATGGACTCCGATAAATTCTAAGGAAAACCTGTCTTGGTAGACAGCTTACATGCTACCTGGTGGGTGCCATATGCCTCTATAAGTTGGATGGGTGATTTGAATGTGGAAAGAATAATACTCTGTCGGTGTGGCCTCGTAGCTTAAGTGGTGGAGCATGCGCTGTACAAAAGCGTTCGCTGTGTCCATGCTACTGAACTTTTCACACTTTTAACATACCACTGTACGAGCTCGGACACGTGAAATATATCTGTAATAATTTCCCCTCTAATTTTTTTATTGAATGGACAACCTGGAAGATACAATACTGGAAGCAGAATTCACCGTCGTACAGAAGTGAACAAAAACTTTTGGAGATATTTGGTTACAGTGTCGTTGGCTAATATGTGTAGGCCGAAAAATAACTTGACGTTTCCAACGTTTCGCTAATGATATGGACATCAATTTAGTTTGTTCAATGAAACTAGATTCTGTGGATTGTGGTGTGATTGTACCATAACAAAAATCAGAAGGTCCTGAAACGGTCAACATTTCAAGGCAAGCGATTAGTTTCTTAACGATTCAGTAGCTAAGACAAATGCTTGCTTGAATATGAATCAGTCTTTTTGTTTGACTAAACTCGATTGCTGCTTTTGATTCTACAAGGCGGGAAATTCCTTTTTTAGTTCGGGTGATCTTGTCACTTCCTTGTATTTGCAAAAGATACGTCTACTACTGATCGAACAACAACATAGGCATCAAACACAAAGGCACAAGACCACAAACCAAAACTATATCAATCAATATTACCAAGTCCTAGCTAGGGACAGGTTAAATCATTCACGTTTTTTATCCGGGTGCGCATGGGTTGCGATTCCATTTTCCCGTAAAAATGACTAGGCTATGAAATACAGATGTGTATTGCTTCCCAGTTGACGGTAGTTGGTTACCTATCTGATAATATTCAGGCGTATGCTTTCTCGTGCCTGATCTATATTCGAACTGGTAGTGTCCTCGCTCCTACAGGCACGTTTTGATCAAATATCACAAATGAATTTATTAGCTTACAGAATGATGAAAAACTAACAAGAAGGTTGGACAGTAAACAAAATATACTTCTCTTTAGATAGATATTATCTGGGCGCATCGAAGTCACCTATGTTTGCTTATGATACCTCACCTAGGAACCACAAAGTCGTTGATCGCATTGGACGTATTACACCTGGTCGATGTGATCGTATGCGGAGACGATCCGGACGGGCGACCCAAACCGGATCCACACAATGCTCGAATGATTTGTGATCAATTGGACATCAAACCGGAGGAGGCTGTGATGGTCGGTGACACACCCACGGATATTCAGTTTGCCAAGGTAAACCGATCTAGAAAAGAGAAACAGACAGGCAGTTCAGAAATGGTTTGAATGCAATTGAATGCAAAATGCTAGTACTTGAGGGAAGAATCTGTTTTTGTTAAATAAATATGCCAAGTACGGATCGGTTAATGTACCCAGGCAAAGTGTCATACTGCGGCAAGAAATCACTGCATTTTTCAGATTGCTAAAAAAAGTTGTGAACAGTCCTGACGGGGGTTGCTGGTTACTCAGATGACTAATAAATCTATCTTCTCTAGTCTCGCTGAAAATTGTACAAAACATTGAGATAAAGAGCTTTGTGATCAGAAACGTGTATTCATCTTGAAGAATGCAGAGGTAGTGCACAGGTTTTATTTACTTCGAAGTGCTTTCGTATCGTTCAGGATTATTGATCATTTGGGAACATTCTTCTCGAAGGTTTACAATACGAATCAATGAGATCACCTAATTATACTGTGCAGAATGATAATAAGAGATTTTAATTGTGAGAGGATTTTTGTTCATTTTGTAATTTGTGTATCCCAGTCGGAGCACGTCAGCAAACGTCCGGGTTCACAAGCCGAGTTACATGGTCGACGGTATACAACGCATGGAGAGCAGAACCACATTAATTATTTATACGGTTGTTTTGCTCCATGTCAGTACGTAGACAAAAGAGTATTTCTTAGGCGGGTCTCACTTTTGGGAATCTCATTCTCTCATTCTTACATGTTGGATACATTTTATTGATCAGAGACTTTTGAGTAAAAACCGAAACTTCCCGTGTTCGAATCCTGACGAGCCTCAACGAAGATGAAACAGATGTTCGGCTTCCCATGAGTGAGACGCGCTTAGGAACACGCACACACACACACACACACACACACACACACACACAAACGTTGGGTTCTTTGGATTCGCGCACAACGAAATTCATAACATGTTTTTTAGCGGATGGTGCAACTGTCGGTTTTAATGAAATATTAATGGCAATACCGAAAAAATTATGTTCGATGCCCTAAATGAAGTTAAGCAGGATGTGCTACTGAGACTCTTTTTAACAGTATTATCATTCACGGAATTTGAGGTTTATAAATCAAATTTGAATCAACTATCCGTCGAATGATGACTGAATTTCGAAGTAAGCTTTTAAGGTTATCCCCTTGAAAATCGATTATTNNNNAATAAAAGGATTATACTTCAATGATGCGATTCGTAAAATTAATCAGATTTTAATTTGATCGTTGGTGGATTCAACTGGCATGTCTCTCTCTCGACCCAAGACGGATTCAATTGAAGTTTCAGGATGTTTCAGATCAGGCTTGTATAAAAGTATTTCTCAATCAAAATAACTTTTGCCGTTCTCTAGTCTGTTAAAACATCGCAATTTATTGCATATTTTTACATTCATTATGTAGAAAGTTTGACATTTCCGAAACCAAGGAAAGTTTACTTTGTTGCATACAAGCTTCGTTCATGAAGCAGTGTTTTACCATAAAAGATTTCCAGGAAACGAATTGACTGCTAATTGAAGTGAATTGACAGAAGATAAACACGTTGTTTAAGGATTTTGGAGNGAGTAACACATTAAAATTAATCTGGGTTAGATTGGACTGCATCCTAACACGATAAAGTTTAAAGGTTCTCTATTTTCCTTACACCAAATATATTCTAAGCACTTTGAATCATATTCTAAGCACTAACTACTTTGGCACGTATCCTTTGCAACACGAAGCTCAGCTCGTTCACGCTCGAAAATTATAATGTAAATTGATTGCGATTCTCTATAACGAACCGAGAAACCACTTAACCGGTTGTTCCACTCATATTTGATCCTAGTTAGCAAGCTAATCGAGTATGGATTGCTTCTGTCTATGCACAGCAAATGGGTATGTGGATATATAAAACGAGTATGGAGGGATATTAAATGGATCACAAAATAGCGTACCGTCTGATCTATTCCAGTTCGCACTTTCGCCTTTTCCACAACCGTGCATTGCTATCTGTAGACTCGCACTGTAGCATTACTGGTGTTGTGAAGTACAATCATACTTGTGAGTAGTTCGAGCACGAGTAACATCGGATTAGAAAATTTCCTTCAACGTTTTCTCAGATAAGCAAATTATCCTGAAACAGTGACTTACATTCACACAGGGACACTGTTTGTGATTCCTATTCCGAGCTGACTAGCGTTCAAAAGCTTTGGGTGATCTTTTACGATCTTTTCACATTGGCTCGACTGTAAAAAGCATAAAAACGTTTTCCTCTGACTTTTAACGAATCGTCATTGGTTTCTAAACGGTAGGAAATATTGTATTTTGATTATCAGTGTATTCTGCCGACCATAAATGTTACCAACAACAGTTAACGACAAAAATATCGATTGTTCTTCCATTGATGGCCGTAGACCTTCCCGATAGGATTCAATTGTGTGTTGGTTTTTCTAGGCAAAGGTTATGTCTAAACGCTTACACGCAGCACGCATCAAGCTGATTACAAAGAACATACCAAAACATTCGTGTACTGTTGAATCGACTCACGGGCAGCTGTGTTAATAAAAAATGAAATACCGAGATGTAGTCAGTAAAATACAGTGACAAGCCAGGAGTTTGTTGTGACCAGCGAGTCCAACACGATAAGCTTTATGCACGCGGTAGTTAGGCTCACCACAGTGCACAAAACGAGAGAGCGGCTATCAATTGGGTTTTTGGCCACAACCTCATCGTATTGCTGGTTCTATTCACAAGCTGGCGGAAAATGTTTTGATATGCAATAGTTGAAAAAGTCCCATGAGCTGGTTCATTGTTGGACAAGCTTAGGAGAAAATAATTGAAGACAGATGTAAAATGATAAATAGTCATTCTAAGAGTGCTACACGAGAATTGACCTCTAACGAAAAAGAGGGAAAACATTGGTGGATCCGGAAACTAATCTTAATTTATAGGGTGATAATGTATTTCAATAATGTTACACAAGCCTGACCGATAAAGTAGCTGGTATGTTCACATACAGCGTGATGCAACCAATTATGACAAGTGGGAAACTGTTTCCCGGCCTAGAACTTGACAAAGTTTTGACAGAACGCGAAATAAAACCCAGCAGAATGAGAAAAAGCGCAACTGTTGAACATTATCGCACGTCATAGATAAACATCTGTTATCGATGATGAAATGAAACCATGAAGGGGAGCACCGAAAGTACACGCAAAGAGGGTCAGTATAACGAAAAATTAATTCAGAAATGGGTGGGCTTCAGCCGTCTAGGCAAACATCTGACGTCGGTGGTGGGATTTGTGCTCACAACTTCCGGGTCGATGTGATACTGACCTTAAGCACTTGGCCAATGATGGTTTAAAACCGTGCTGCATCAGAGCAGGTCTTCGTCAGTATAAAAACCTCTTTTAGGAAGATATAAAAAATGTCACATGCATGTCGAAAGTTCAGTATAGGAAGCTGATGATATATTCTCACTTGATGCTAACTGACATGCCTCAGCGCTCCAGATGGACAGAAGAGTATGTCATATGGATTGATCAGTGGAACAAAACAATCCTCAAAGACGATAAAACAATTTAATTGAGATGTCTTCTTTTACTGTTCGCATGGCTGACTTAAATACCCGAATTCCCAATTACGGGCTCATGAGTGACCGTTTGGTTATGTAATGAACTGAGTCTTTATGACAAGAAAAGTCTGAACTGCTCAGAAAACCCGTGTTGTGTACAATTACTCTTCTTACACCATTTTAAAATCACAAATCACCCGAAGCCCTAGGTTCTTCCACAAGATAACACATAATCCAGATCCAAACCTCCTGGGGTAACAATACAAGCAGGGTATGTGAACATAGACACTAGTTTTTGAGAGAAGATTTACTGAATGTTTAGAGTGTGGCTATGACCTCTTGTTGCCAGTGTGTACCTGCTAATGCTAAAACGGAAGATGTTGACTATGCTTTCATAGATATTCTGTATACGGTAAGAATCAGTCAGTAACCGTTACGCACCATGTATGGAGTACCAGTATTAATTTAGTTTCCAAATGCGTGCTCATGTTTTTCCTCGTCTTATTCATAAACCAACTGGCACATGAAATCTGGCACTCTTCCGAAAGATTAAACCAAAAGATTGAAATAGCCTTTGTGTTATTTTTTGCACCAATCTCATCGGTGAGTTGGTTTTCGGTACAACGCGTAACAGTTTCATTCGGTACTTTCCCCATCCTTTGATTTGCTATCATTCCACTGCTTAGGAAATCAAGCTGTTCTGAACTGGGGTTTGATCGCATCTGACCTGTCACCATCCTGCTTTTTAGTCTCATACTGTCTAACAATTATTTCGCTAGAACGGTAATTTCGGTCTTGGCGTCGGAGTTCTCACCGGTATCGGACAACGGGAAGATTTAGAACGTGCATGGTACGGATCTGAACGACCGGGCATCGTGGAAAAGGCAAATCCCGATGATAAGTTTCATATAGTCCCGTCTGTCGCGGACATCATTCCTCTAGTTTTGCCTGACTCGACCATCCCTATCCAATCGTTGCTTAGACACACGCTGACAGAATCTACTTCATCCCCGGGGGTTAGCGAGATGATTCGGCTGATTATATTGGACAAGGACGGTTCGCTCACTAATGTGCATCCTCGATGGTCCGATTGGGCGGAAAGCATATGTTCCAAGTGAGTTTATTGACCGCATTTATAAAACCCCCTGAAACTGTAGGGGAACTGATGCAAGTGAGTGCAATTAGTTGACTCGGTTTAATATACTTCATTTTCCACACCCGGGGTTAACTGGTTAGTGAGAGTGGGTCTTACTGACCTCGCGGTTGAAATAAAAGTAAACTTTCAAATCTAATGAACCAAATACACAAATTTATTTTCATAATTTCCAGACTGATCTATTTCTACCTTTCTACTTACCGTGAGGTTTCGTGTTTTTCTGCGGTATCTGTTCAACTATTTCATTTTCGCAATACGAGGAATACCTCCGATCATCTTTTGTAATCTCTGAGATGAATCACCTTAGCATTGCTCTTCAAGAATTATAGATTGATCGTTAACATTCTACGCGCGCCCTTCGATTGGCTGCGCTACACTTACACGCTCTCCGTCGCATTGTGGGAATTTTCACCTTTTCACTCACTATCATGCGCCGTCGTTACTCACGGGATGATATTATTTGTTTCAAACGTGCCAGGACATGCTTCGATGGTTCAGCGGTCTGTGCGACTCCATTT